TTTGGGTGTGTCTCGGGGGAGCGTGAACCCTTTGGGGGAGGGTTCATCTCGGATGCGGGGCCCAAAGCAGGGTGGACCCAGCTCATCTTCTTCTTCCAGCGCCAGGGATCGGTGGAGTCGGTCGATCCGGTGGCGAGCGTCATTCTCTCCGACTCCTTCTCGACGGCCGAGGCGGTCGCCGAGAGTCGGATGCTCGATAGGCGGTGGGGAGACTCGTCTTTCCCTTCGTGGTGGGGGAGGCAGGTAGTCGCCCTGCCGCTCCACTGCTCTTGGGCGGCCGTCTTGGTCGCGCTCGATGGTGATGCGAGTCCGACTGTGGCTGACAGCCGGATCCTTCTCTTTTCTTCCGTGGACTCCGCCAGTCGGCGTCCGAGACGTCGCGCCTTGATCTCGGCGGGGAGGTAAGTCGTCGTTCTATCGCTGTGGAGTCTCCATGCGACAGCCGGCTTCGTTCTGTGCGACAGCCGCTTTGAGGAGTCGCTGGACTCGCTCGGTCATTAGGCAGCGCTCTTCGCCTTCGAAGTTGTCAAGCTCGTCTGCTGCCGCCTGGGCGGCATGGATGTTCTCTGCAGGCGTGGCATACACGGGGCGATCGGCCCCGAACAGGTTGGCAACAGACGCGCCGCGCTGTCGGACCGCGCCTAGGCGGCTAGGCAGAGTCGCCGCCGGCGAGCCGCCCACAGCGCGATCCATCTCACGTTGGTAGGCCTCCGACAAGCGTCTCATGCTTGCCAGCTTCTTCGCGCCTTCGACAAGCTAAAGGCGGCGTGCCTCCAGCGTCTCGGCGTCAGCATCCTCCAGAATGGGCGCCGTCAGGTCCCACAGAGCCGCGTCGAGCGGCTCATCGTAGATCACCATGTTGGAGGGGAACATGTCGAGCGACACGTCGTCGGAGTCGGCCAGCATCGGGTCGGTGGAGCCTACGGACTCCAAGTCCACGGCAGGCTCGCCAGCGACGTGGAGATGGTCGAGGAGGCCCGCGAGGAGGCTCTCGGGGCCGCCCGTGCCTGCATCGGATGCAGGCTCGTCGGAGATGCTAACCTCGCCGAGAAGGTCAGCGAGGCATCTTGCCGCGCAGGCGTCGTCAACGCTTTGCAGCGCGTCGGGGCAAGCGCCATCGGGCGTGTCGGGCTGGCTACGCTCGTGGGGGAGGAAAAGGGTTCCCGTCCAAAGCAGGTCTCCGGACGACGGTGCACCTCGCCCCACGGTGGGCGCCAAATGTCGGGGGTTGGGTGCGACATATGCCAAAGGATGGCTTATCATGGTGGGAGCGAGTAGAACATCGCCGGTGCCAGGAAACGGGATTAGGCGAAGGCATGCACGCCGGCGAATCTTACCCAGCTTCGGGGCTCTCCGGGGAGATAACACCCCTACTACTGCTCTGCAGGGTCTCCGCATGATCACTAAGGCGTAGCGACTACAAGGTTGCTCCTAGAGCTGTATTGTAGAGGTAGAAGGAGGCAAGGCTAGCCTTCTTCTTCCTATATGAACTGGTCTAAGGCTAAATGGATCCCAACCCTTTGCATGGGTGCCCCGGGGGGTTTATATAGGCCTACCCCCCGAGGATACAATAGTAATCCGGCTGGGCGCGGGTCCCAGCCGTCTGTCTCACAGGTCGCCGTCTTCTCCGCCGACTGATGGGGCCCGCCGACTCGCGGGCCCCGCCGACGAGTCCGGCACTGTAGCCGTGCCTTTGATGACGCAGGCTTGGTCATTGGGTCGTGGCAACAGTGCCGCCGTCTATCGGGCGATCACTGTCGTTACTCCCCATCTTGTCTGGTTAATGGTGCGTGGGACCCGTGAGAGGGGTTGGCCGACCCCGGGGAGCCGACTCCCACGGGGCCGTCTTCGGGGCGTACCCGCCGTCTTCTAGATCTCACTGACTGGCGGGTCCGCCGTCTCTGAGCCGTATAGGTAGGCCATCGTGGCCACAGTGCGCCGCGTACTGTGGCCGAGGTCAGGTCTGGCGTGGCTACAGTGCCGGGCCACGCCGGAGATCTCCGGCGGTACGGCACACTTTAGCCACGCCGGCTCCTCGCAAGCAGGAGGTGACGGCCACGTCATGGTCGTACCCGCAATGAGCGTAGAGTCGCGGGCCGACTCTCTATAGCCGGCTCCTCTGGAAGTCGCCGGCCATGAGTCGGCCCATCTGGGAGTCGGCATCTGAGACTCGGTTCATCTGGAAGTCGTCATCTGAGACTCGGCTCATCTGGGAGTCGTCATCTGAGACTCGGTTCATCTGGGAGTCGGCATCTGAGACTCGGTTCATCTGGGAGTCGGCATCTGAGACTCGGTTCATCTGGGAGTCGGCATCTGAGACTCGGCTTTGAGGGGCGCGGCCTGCCCCGATGTCTTGAAAGGTTCTGGGGCTCGGGTCAGCCTACCCGTGGCCCATTACTCTGACAGGCGGAGTCAATACCTGCATGCGGCCTTGCGGCTTTGCCGGGGCCTTCAGGCCCGGTGCCCGACCAGTCCATGGCACGGCGCGGCCTCCAACAGCCGGGCTAGCTAAAGCCCGACCGGATCCGCTCCAAATCTGGCCGCCGAGTGCGAAAATCAGGTGGTCGTGGTTGGGTATCTCGGGGGTGTCAAGGGAAAGGGGGCTGGGCGAGCGCGCGTCCGAGCTGCACAACTGCAATAGAGGCGGCGGCGGCGGCGGCGGCGAGGGGCAAGAGTGGAGGGGTGTGGCTGGAGGGAGAGGGGTGGATAGAAAAAGGGATGCCTGTGCCACCGACGGGCGGGCCAGGGAGGACAAGCGCACACAGCCCGTCCATCCGCGCGCTGTCCGTTTCACCTCAAAAGCGGCCCAAACGTGGGCCGGGGATGGATTGAAAGCGGATAGAAAGCGGACAAAAGTCCGTTTGTGTCCACACGATGAGCCGTCTGATACATTCGTTTTTCATAAACGGACGCAGCCGGACAGGATGGGGTCGTGCGCTGGAGTTGTCCTGAGGACCTCGCCCTATTACACGCCGACACCATATCCTCTTCCTCCACCCTACCATCCGCCGTGGACGAATTGTTTTTGAATTGCGCAAACGCATTGTCCCCGTCAACCTCATGGACCGCTGCGCGAGTGCCGCAACGTGGTGAACCGTGTTCTAGAGTCTAGACGCGGTAGGTGGCGATGAACAAGGCAATTAGGCGGGGCCAATTTGGAGATTTCTCGGTCAGGCAAGCTTTTGTGTAACTGAACTACTGAAGCGAGGATGGGAGTTTAGCACTAGATACGAACCCATTTTAAAAAACAGCCTACCCAAGCAGACAAACTTCAGGGGCAGTAATCTTGCCGGAGTTGGAGAAGAAACTATTTTCAGGGAAGGAAAGTGGACCGTTTTCCTTTGCATACCTTGGTGAGGAACTTTTTGAGCTGCAGCGAAGAAGAGACTTCTCCAACATCATAGCCCCTGGGGTCCCGGGAGAAGGAGAACCCGACGCCGACCGGCGAGTCCACGAACAGGACACTGGCAACTTTGGTCCATGCGTAGGGGTGGTACCGCAGCCGCGGTATGGTGCCATCGTAGGGCTCTCCGATTAATTTCAACGGGCCTAGAAACACAGTTGACTTTACTCAATCAATATCTCACTCCAATAGAAGGGAACAACAATCAGGCAGCTAGATCTAGAAGTGCCAGCCAAGACAGAAATAGTAAAGTCGGCCAGTGTCGCCGTACAGGGAATCACTGACCTATCTCGAACAGCAACACACTGAGGACGCTGCAGCGGTCGCCGCCGGATGACCGGGTCACGCCGCGGGTCGCCCTCCGACTCGATGAAGTAGTAGAACAGCTCCGAGCCGTTCTGCTCGTCCACGGTCACGTACCTGGCATGGACAAAGAGCTTGTAAACGAGTGCAATTGCAGTGCAGGAGTGTCCAAGAACGTGCGTGCCTGACCGAGGAAGAACTTTGCTGGACCAAAAGTTTCAGCCGTATGTTGCCCGGAAGAGTAGCATTTTTGACCGAGGAATACGTACCCGGTCTCAAGTCGGAACGGGAGGGGGCCATCGAAGCCTGGAAGGCTGGCGACGAGCGTCGGAGCCGCCTCGGCGGAGAGGAAGCGGCAGCGGCGTGGCAGAGCGGAGAAGAAGCAGAGGAGGAAAATGAGCCGCCGCAAGGGGAGGAGGGCCATCACCATGAGGGGCCTAGGCACTTGCGCCTCCATGGTTTCCCGAGGAAAACTTGCTCCCCAGGCTGTTCGTACTTGCCCACTTCCATCGGCTGCTCAACTTAATTGACCGCTAGCCGCTGACATTTTGTTTTTTCATTATTGAAGTCTGGCAGCAGATCCACATCAGGGATCAGATAAAGACATTGTGCACCGCGTGCCTCCTCAGATAAAGCATACAAAAGTCCTCACCCGATGACCTCGTGGGTCTTTTCCAGTGTTTCCCGGTACCGGAGACAGACAGCACATCGTAGTACGCCTCCGTGCCCCGACACGCGGAAACAACACACACCCGGGGCAACAGCACGTGCCGTCTTCTTCTGGAGCATACAACCCTCAAAGCGGCGACTCCTGGCTTGTTCCGCCGTGGAGCAGGGCATGGTCCATGGTGTGTGTCAGGACTCAGGACAAAGGATCCTTCACGATGAGTGGGGTGAAATGCAACCGCATCACATTTGTTGTGAAAAGGAAAGACAGACCACAGCCCAACCCAGGTTTGACTGTAACTGACAAAATTATCCAGCAATTTTTTTGGTTGATTCTGTAGCCTTTTAAAGCGGCGATTCTTTGGGCGACCGCCGGGGCGAAATATTAGACACATCCTATCGGGAGAGTAGTGAGGATGTGCTATGCACCCCATGCTTGGGGCTTTTATTTTCCTGTCCTCTGTAACTTTGCAAGACCTTTTCTCTCTCCTTATTAATGAAAGGGGGCAAATCTTATGCCCTACGTTTCAAAAAAAAAGTTCATATAGATAAGAAAAAACTGCGTAGATAAGAAATGCAAGACAGTGACCTAAAAAATGAAACAGGTCTGGCCGAAACGGAAAACACTTCACTCGTCTTCTTCGTCTTCATCAATCACGACCAGATGCTTCACGGGGGGCCTCTTCCTCTTCTTGGTGGAAGAGGACGACGGGTCGTCGTTCTCCTTGGAACTCTGCTTGTCCACGGCAAACACCAGGTCCTTCTTCTCCTCGTCGGCGTCGACGGACACGTAGCAGTCGTCGTCCACCTCCTCCTGCACCACCATCTTGGATATCCTTGTCATGACGTTCTTCTGCAGGCAGCGTTTGACCGGCCTCGCGCCGTACATCTGCACCTGGTCGCTGGACCGCGAGAGGATCACGTCGAGGGCCGCGTCCGTGATGTCGAGGCCGATGCCCTTCTCGGCGAGGCGCGCGGCGATGCCTTTGAGCTGCATCCTCGCCACCCTCAGCAGCTGCTCGCGGGAGAGCGGGCGGAAGATCACCATCTCGCTCAGCCGGTTGACGAGCTCGGGGCCGAAGTGCCTCTGCACGTCGGCGATCACACGCTTGCGGGTGGCTTCCGTGTCCTTGCTGGCTGCGCGGGCGAGGAGGTGGTGCGCCCCGAGGTTGGAGGTCATGATGATGATGGTGTTGGTGAAGTCGACGGCGCGGCCCTGCCCGTCGGTGACGCGCCCGTCGTCGAGGATCTGGAGGAAGACGTTGAGCACGGAGGCGCCGGCCTTCTCCACCTCGTCCAGGAGGACCACGCTGTACGGTCGCTGCCGCACCAGCTCAGTGAGCTGCCCGCCCTTCTCGTACAAATGCGACCTACAAATCAAAGGCCATCATATCCAATCCCATATGTAAACGGTAGAGGCGGATTAACTTGCGTGTACTGTACCAAAGAAGGAAGCTGTATATGATACGAACCCAGGAGATGCGCCGATGAGGCGAGTGACGGAGCTGCTGCTCATGTACTCGGACATGTCGATGCGGACGAGCAGCTTCTCATTGCCGAAGAGCTGCTCGGCGAGGGCCTTGGCGAGCTCCGTCTTGCCGACGCCGGTGGGGCCGAGGAAGAGGAACGATCCTGACGGCTGGTTTGGCTCCCCGAGGCCCGACCGCGAGCGCACCACGGCCTCGGCAACGACGTTCACCGCCTCGTCCTGGTCGATGACGCGCCGGTGCAGCCGCTTCGGCAGCTCCAGTAGCCGCTTCCTCTCGTCAGTCCCCAGACTAGTCACAGGGATTCCTGTCCATTTGCTCACGATCTACTCCCGTATTTCAGAATTTCAGATGATTTGATGACACCGGTCGGAGTGCAAATTTCAGTCGGATCTATTGGTACTTTATTTATCTTACCTGCGCTATGTGGTCCGGTCCGACGTTTTCGTCCTTGGGCGCCAAGGGCTTGTCGTCGTTGCCTGTGGCTTGCTTCTTCCGGCGATCCATCACCAGCCTCGCCGTCGCGCACGCCTCATCAACAAGATCGATCGCCTTGTCCGGGAAATGTCGTGCTGAGAGGGAAAAAAAATATTCAATAGTTGCATTTGAGATGAAGTTTGCGCATGACATTGTGATGTCAAGCAAGTGGTCATTATTTATTTAGATAATTAATTAATGGTTAATTACCTGGGATATAGCGGCCGGAAAGCTTGGCGGCGACGACGAGCGCCTCGTCCTGGATCTCCATGCCGTGATGCTCCTCGTACGCCGCCTTGAGCCGCCGGAGGATGGCTACGGTTTCCTCCTCGCTGGGCTCCGAGACGTGCACCTTCTGGAACCGCCGCTCCAACGCCTTGTCCTGGAGAAAGTAGTGGTGGTACTCCGCGTGCGTCGTGGCGCCGAGGCACCGGACACGGCTCCTCGCCAGCGCCGGCTTCAGCATGTTGGACGCGTCCATGCAGCCAGAAAAGAGACCGGCGCCGAGCAGCGTGTGTATCTCGTCGATGAACAAGACGACCTTCCCGGCCGCGGCGGCCTCCACCTCGGCGATCAGGCCGGTCAACCGTTCCTCGAACGTGCCGCGGGCCCTCGTGCCGGAGATCATCGCGGCGACGTTGATCTCCAAGACGCGCGCGCCGGCCAGGACCCCGGACACCTCGCCGCGGGCGATGCGCTGCGCGAGGCCCTCGGCGATGGCCGTCTTGCCGACCCCGGCCGCGCCCACGAGCACGGCGCTGTTCTTGGACTTGCGGGACAGGATGCACACCACGCGGTCGATCTCATCCTCGCGGCCAACGACGGGGTCAGCGTTCGCCGCCGCCGCGGTGAGATCGCAGCCAAAGGTGTCCAAATTGGTTTTGCCCCCAAAGCTGGCCGTCAAAGGACAAGGAGGCGGTGCGGCCGGCGCCTCCTTTTTCGCACGCCCGCCTCCGCGGGCAGGCTGCCGGGAGTTACCCTTGGCCGGCCGCGGGGGCTTGGTCGACGAATTGCCCTCAGCCGGGGGCGTGGCTGCGCTCTTCGGTGGCTGCGCGTTGTTGCTCGACGGATCGCCGGAGGTCGGCGTCTTCGGGTCCTTCTTCGCCGAGCCATCGCCGCCCGCGATGGTTGACGATGGAGACCCCTCGAACGTCGCCGTCCAGTCGATTTCGATCGAGGGTTTGGCGCCACCGGCCTTGTTGCCGCCGGCAGCAGATCCCCTCGCCATGCTGCGCCGGGAATCTGTGAAGATTCGGTGTGAATGTGTGATACCGTGGTAATTCGTTTGGGTTCGCACATTACCCATCACCTTTTATTAGGTTTCCAAACTTGCAAGGCGCGTAGCAAATTAGGATCGGATTAATGTCTGTGAACAATCACCGGGTTTCTTGCCTTGCAATCACACTGTTTGCGCGCGGAGTTCAAATTTTGCGCCACTGAATTTGCGCGCCACATGGCGAATATGCCCGCAGCTCCAGATAGCCGGCCAAATAAGCAGCTGCAGAGAGGAGCTACAATGAATGGCCCAGGAGACTCAATGGGCGTAGCAAATGAATGGCCCACTGAGTTTTTCGGTTTTCCTTTTCTTTTCGTTTTTCGGTTTTCGTTTTTCTTCTTTTTTAGTTTTAATTTTATTATTAAAAAATCACGAACATTTTTTATTTCAAATCCATGATTATTTTCCTCGGGCTAAGATCATTGCCTTAGAGGCCTCAAATCAAACACAGTAGCTACCTATGAGTTAGTCGGGTCCTCTTCCTCCCCGCACATGTCTTCTTCCCTCGAGATATCGTCTTCCTCCTCATGCCTGAGTTGGCCTAACCGCTGGCCCTTGCCACCCATAGAACAGCGACAATTAACCCCCACCCTGTACCCACATTTTCAACTTCCTTTCTCTCCTCCACATTGATCATGTATTTGAAATTCATTGTGTATTATATATATACCTCCTGTATTAAAAAATGTTCGCCATGCAGTTATAAATAAAAAAACAAGAAGTGAAAAAGAGAGCAAGAAATAAAAACCCGTAGAAGCCCAACCGGTGAAACGCCAAAAATGCCTACTGCAAATTGGTTGGGTCATGTGCGCACGCCCCTATGTGTTATGTGGGAATTTTGCAGGCTTCTCCTATATAACGCTCGCTGCAACAGTTTGTCAACCAAATGCAAGGATGAAGTGAGCGGATGTGGGCCTACCCAATTAGCTGCGTACATTGTGATTTTGGGAAGGTTGTGGGGCTGGGTTTTTGTTTCGTTCTTTTGTTCTTTTTTTGTTGTTTTGACTCGCGGTCTTTGATTTTTTTGGATTTTATGTTTTCCAGGAAAATATTCTTGAAATTTTAAAAATGTCATGTTTTTCATAATGTACAAAAAATGAAATGACAACACATATTTATAAAAAAAATGATAATTCCAGCGAGTATTTTAAAAAATTCAAAAAATGTTCTCAAATTTTGAAACATGTTCTTGAAATTTCAATAAATGTTATTTTTATTCAAAAATGTTAGATTTTTCAAAAATATTCAAAAAATGTTTTAAGAATGACAATTTAATTTACTTATCCTTTTAAAAAATGTACTACTTTTGGTACTTTTAGAGAAAACCGCCTAGAAACTTGTAAAATACAAAATAGAAAATTGGCCGGCTTGCTATAGTCCAGTCGATTTGGATCGAGGCTTTGGCGCCACAGGCCTTGTTGCCGCCGGCAGCAGATCCCTTCGCCATGCTGCGTGGGGAATCTGTGAAGATTCGGTGTGAATGTGTGATACCGTGGTAATTCGTTTGGGTTCGCACATTACCGATCACCTTTTATTAGGTTTCCAAACCTCAAGGCGCGTAGAAAATTAGGATCGGATTAATGTTTGTGAACAATCACCAGGTTTCTTGCCTTGCAATCACACTGTTTGCGCGCGGAGTTCAAATTTTGCGCCACTGAATTTGCGCGCCCCATGGCGGATATGCCCGCAGCTCCAAACGGCCGGCCCGATAAGCAGCTGCAGACGAGCTACAATGAATGGCCCAGGAGACCACGGAACTATGGGCCCATCGAGTTTTTCGGTTTCGTTTTTCTTTTCGTTTTTCGTTTTTCTTATTTTTTATGTTTCATTTTTATTCTTAAAACAATTCATTAACATTTTTTGGCAAATCCATGATTTTTTTCTTCGGGCTAAGATCATTGCCTTAGATGCCTCCAATCAAACACAGTCGCTACTTATGAGTCGATCTTCCTCCTCGCACATGTCTTCTTCCGTCGACTATCATCTTCCTCCTCATGCCTGAGTTGGCCTAACTGCTGGCCCATGCCACCCACACAATGGTAGTGACTCTGCGAGCCGCTCTTGGCTAGCTAGTCTGAGTCGTTCTCTCTATTAGTATGTTGTCGTCCACGATGACCCCTCTAAGCCTTGTCCTTCTTCGACACCGACAATTAGCCCCCACCCTGTACCCACATTTTCAGCTTCCTTCCTCTCCTCCACATTAATCATGTATTTGAAATTCATTGTGTATTATAAATATACCTCTTGTATTAAAAAATGTTTGCCATGTGGTTATAAATGAAAAAACAAGAAGTGAGAAGAAAGCAAGAAATAAAAACCCGTAGAAGCCCAACCGGTGAAACGACAAAAATACCTACTACAAATTGGTTGGGCCATGTGCGCACGCCCCTATGTGTGTTATGTGCGAATTTTGCAACCCCTCAAAAAAAATTGGAATTTTGCAGGCTTTTCCTATATAACGCTTGCTGCAACAGTTTGCGGACCAAATGCACAAGGATGAAGTGAGCGGATGTGGGCCTACCCAATTAGCTGCGTACATTGGGATTTTGGGAAGGTTGTGGGGCTGGGTTTTTGTTTTGTTCTTTTGTTCTTTTTTCTGTTGTTTTCACTAGCTGTTTTTTGATTTTTTGGATTTTATGTTTTTCCAGAAAACTATTCCTGCAATTTTAAAAACGTTCATGTTTTTTCATAATGTTCAGAAAATGAAATAACAACACATACTTAAAAAAATTATTCCAAATAGTATTTTAAAAAGTTGCAAAAAATGTCCTCAAATTTTGAAATCTGTTCTCGAAATTTCAATAAATGTTATCTTTTTCCAAAAATGTCAGTGTTTTTGAAATATTCAAAAAAGATTTAAAAAATGACAATGTAATTACTTATTCTTTTAAAAAAAAGTATACTACATCTGGTACTTTTATAGAAAACCGCCTAGAAACCTGTAAAGTACAAAAAAAAATTGGTCGGCTCGCTACAGTAGTCAGCGTCAACCCCCCCAACAGCTCTATGCACTAAATGGTCCGGCCTACCCGAATGATCCTTGTGTGAATTGCACACATGTTGAACGCACTCGGCAGCTTTTTTACATTTTTGAGTCATCGGAAATAGTTGTGATTAAAAACGTAAAAATAATGGATATCCTGAGAAGATGGGATTGCGGGAGGTCAAATGCCACAGATTTTGTTGGTCCTCTCGCCTCCATGGACCGTGCTACGAGGTGACAGGGACCTTGGAACTTGGATTTTCCTAGGTGTATTCAGAAGTTTTATATACGTGATTTTTTCAACAAAAATATTGGCTTATCCCTTCGTCTCTCCTCCAAGCGAACAGGATGGCTATGGTTTCTGCCTCCTGTCGGCGGTGCCATTGATCTGCCCAGGTCGCCTCATGTGGCCTTAGGGCCATGGGGCGCGGTGGATCCCGGCCCTTGCCGGCGAAAGGGTTTCACTTTTATATATTTCTTTGATTTTTTAGGATTTGTGTCTTGATCAGGAAGACGAGATGGCGGCGGCTTCCTAGAGATGGAATAAGGTTCTCCCCGTATAGCTCTCCTACCGGCGGTGCATCTAGCATCATCGGAGGGCGTGTGAAGTGTGTCTTCGGTCAGAATTCAGTTGGTGGTTGTCTTTGGTGGATCCACTTGGATCTAGTCTTCATTCGTTTACGTCATTGTGTCTTCAGATTGGATCCTTCAGATCTACGTTTCTCTTCATTGGCATGACGGCTTTTCGACTGTCTACTGCAACAAGTTTTGCTTGGCTCTGGCGAGGGAGGGATGCTGTGTTAAAATAGGTCTAGCGTGTCATGTACACGTACTTGTACGTGTGTAATTGTATATGCTGATTGTTATATATAGAAAGACGTAAAAAGGCTTTGTCCCACGGGAAACCCTAAACCCTATTCTCAAACTTGGTTTCAGAGCCTACCCTGGCTGCCGTCGCCTTTCCTTCCCACCGCCGCCTCCGCCGCCGCCGCAGCTCCTCGCGGTCGCCGCGATGTCCACCGTGCCGTCACCCATGATGACTCCCTCCTCCGCGCTCGCCCTCACCACCTCTCTATGCCCGCCCCGATCGCCCCCGTCATCGCCGCACCCACCGCGTCGGCTCCCACCCCCGTCCTTCCGCCCATCGCGGTCTCGCTCGACCGCAGCAACTTCATGCTATGGGGGGCCCTTGCCCTTCCCAACTTCGCCGGAGTTCGCCTCCACGGCTTCCTCGACGGCTCGGCCAGGGCGCCGGCGCCGACCCTGACGACAGGCACCGGCGAAGCCGCCCGCACCATGTCCAACCCTGAGTACGAGCAGTGGTAGACGCTGGATCAGAAGGTTCTCGGGCATCTCCTCGGTTCGATGAACGTGGAGATCTTCGCGGAGCTCATCGGCTGCAGGACGGCTGCCGCCGCCTGGACGACCATCCACACCATGTTCGCCCGAGAACAGTGCCGGTGTGCGTAACCTCCAGCGCCAGATCCAGGCGCCGCGCAAGGGAGATCGACCCGCTGGCGAGTACATGCAGAAGGTCAAGGCCCTCGCTGATGCGATGGCCGCCGCCGAATCTCCTCTTTGCGATGATGAGATCATCGACTACATGCTGACCGGGCTCGGCTCAGCATTCAACCCCATCGCTGCTTCGATGAACTTCGCGGGCATACCTATCACATTTCCCGCTTCTACTCCAGTGTTCTTCACTACGAGGCCCTTCAGCAACAACAATCGGAGCTTGAGGATTGGCAGTCCTCCTCCAATGTCGCGTCCTGGCCGGTCTACAACAACAACTCCGGCGCCCCCGACCCTGGCTGCCCGAGCGGCGGCCGTCCCTCCGCTGGCTCTCTCGCGCCCGACTCGGGAGGCTACGGCCCTGGCCAGGGCAACGCCCCTGGCCGCAACAACAACAACAGCGGCAACAACCACAACGGAGGAGGTAACGGGGGCGGCCGCAACCGGCGACTGTCGCAACCGCTATGATCATGACTGCTGCTCCGCCAACTCCGCGTCCACATCCTCCTCCCATGAGCCACCGCACTGGATCCTG